GAGAGAAAATGAAATCGATCGAGAAAACTGTAATCTTTTGTGGTCAAAACAACATTCCGTTGAGCGGGAAACGAGATGACAACCCTGATGACAGCAATCTCCAAGGAAACTTTCAACCCTCATGGAAACATTCATTTTGGTGGAAACTAGTCACGAAAAATGCTGAATCCACCCCTGAGGACATTTTTTTCGTATTAAGTTTTCAATAATTAATTACCTGAACTTAGAAATACTTTTATTATCAATTAATCCCTCTTTCCTGCCTTCAGAAAGCATCCCTCTTATTTCTCCCAAAATCCTTTTCCCCGCTCTCTGTGCTATACATAATGAATGAAACCTTAGGTAACTCTCAGGAAAAACTCCTACCATTATGATCGCAATCACCAGCCTTGCTGTCTATACGATATAACCATCGTCCACGATTCCCAACATTGGATTGACGAGAAAGGTCAAGTACTTGCTGTGTACCGGATCCCGGGATATTGAAATATCGCAGTCCGTCTCCGCCATTAAATCCAGCCTGCCGAGACACAGTTGAATCATGAGTATACCGTTCATTTTTTACTTGTTTCTGCCTTGCATAAGAAGGAGTATTTCTTATTTGGTAATTAAATTAATCTTAAGAAGGTCATCGCTCGTACTCAAGTGGAGTTTCAAAGCTAGAAGGGCGCACATGCGTTAATACATATTATTAGTAAAATCCAACCCGTGGTCTATTATCAATGCTGCGTTCTGATTGGTTGAGCTACTACTAGGTTATATGTTATAGCCCACTAGTAGCGAAAAGCGCGGGCATTTTGGCGGCAAAAAAGGATTAAAGTCTAGTTTTGACTAACTAAAAGTTTTTTATTCTCGATATTTTTGGCCAACTAGTTGGATTTTACTAAAACAATTATTCCTCTCGCCCTCATGGCCTCTGAGTCAATAGCCCATTCGGCCTTAGGCCTCATGGGCTATTGACTCAGAGCCCATTCGGGCTCGAGGAATAATTGTTAAATATATACGTATGTATGTTGCAATTTATTTACGTTACTTTAAAGAATACGTATATGTACGTGTGGCCCTCCTCCGTCTCTACAACACACACCTACAACTACCGTAAAGAAAGTGTCACTTAATTATTGGTTAATGAGTCAGCGATCATATGAAAAGATACGTTGCTCGAGGCGCAGCCTTTAGCCAAGAGGTCTAATTAAATCAGTAAAAGAGGTTTACTGCGCTTTTCACAAACATGCGAATTCTGAAGTTCAAAAAACAACTGACGATTGCATTTTTCGTTGCCGTCAATCATCTTAACGGACCTCTTAGGAAACAACACTTTACTTTAACGGGTTCAAAAGGTCATGGTTTCGTATGGTTTCTGATTGGTGGATTTCAATCTGTTTAGTGTGTTTCTGTGTTTCAAGGTTCGTTGCTTGTGATCGTAATTATGAATGACGGGAGCGAAAAATGCAGTTGTGAAGGCGGCTTTTGAACTTTAGAGTTCGCATGTTTGTGAAAAGCCCAGTAAAGAGCTGCGAGGCTACTGAATCCTTCGGGTTTTTGCTTTCTTGTGCAAACTAGGACTTCTTTTATTTAAACCTCACCGGAATTACCGGTTGTTTACCATCTACTAAACGCGCGTTTCCCGGAAAATCCGGTTGGAGAGTAAATGGAACACGACTTTAACCTTTAGTCGCATGCCACTCTTTTGGCGGGAAATGGTTTAGCACCCACGTCTTTTGTTGTTGTTGTTGTTATTATTATTATTATTATAGTTTTAATATTATTATTTTTCTTTTCGGCAGGAATTGAAAAATCGCATGATAGATAGATTAAATATATGGAAGCTTAAATGTGTTTTTGTACAGATAGGAGCCCAGTTGTTCGAACGCCGGTTAGCGCTAACCCAGGGTTAAATTTTAACCCGGGTTTCTTTTTCTTATTATCAAAAGCACTCTCTCAGATAATTTTTTTTTCTATTATTTTTAGAGTACCCAGTCATCAAATTACAAAGAGAATTAAATTAAATTTGCTGTGTAAGCTCTTATATCTGAGTTCAAATTTCGCACAAACCCTGGGTTAGCTTAACCCAGATTTGAACAACCTGACCATGAAGTGACAATGCTGGGGCTCCTCTTTTCGGTTCGGGCTCAATTCGTTTGATTTTTCATAAAAGGGCAGGCTTACGGGAACAAAAACACTGAACGGTTTTAACTTAGTACTAAAAAACTATTTCAAATAAATTCACTTTTGAGGCATACCTGTGCAGGTGTGCCACCAAGCCCTGCGCTGTTTCCTGAGCTAGCCGTACCAGTAGTCCATGTTAGCTTATCATAATTGAAGATGACAAATGAATTTCTACCGTTTGTGACAAGTACTGCTTGGAACGTGTTTCTCTGGGATGTAGGAGCCAGGAAGAAGGTAAAATAACGCAAGTTAATAGCAGCGCTCTTACTATGAACATACAGTCAAACCCCGTTAATACGGACCCTGAGGGTGCCATAAAAAGTGTCCGTGTGAGCGCAGTGTCCTCATTTAGAGGGTTATATTTAGAGAAAATATACAGCCTGTAAGGGCTTTTTTTCCCAGGGACAGAGCAAACTGTCCGTAATGTCGAACATGTTAAGGCCAAATTATGCGTAGCCTTTCCAGGCTCCGAGATAGTCGGGCCCGCGTGAGAAGCCCCTATTTTCGCGCCCTACACTTTCGCGTGTTCCCCACTCTTTCGCGCTTTCCCCACTATCTGAGAGCCTGGAACAGGCTAGATTAAGCGAGGCTAACAAATGCTTGTTTGTAATAAGGGGATTAAGCAGAGAGGGCTATGTGCTCTCTAAATTGACCTATGGACTCTCGATTTATGGTGCTAGCAAGGCTGACCTTGTTATTACGGATTGCTTTCTAAAGAGATGTCACAGAAAACGCTACAACTCAGAAAAATTAAGTATTTATGATCTTTTGAAACAATCTGACAGAAATTTAAAGCTCTGTGATAAAATTAGCAAAGACAAACACCATAGTTATATTCTATCTTACCGAATGTAAGGGGCGATTCGCACGAATCGCGAAGCAATGAGTGCGATATCGGTTTTCAAGTGCAATTTAACGTGGAATTCACGAGTCAGGTAATGGATTTTCCTTGAATCGCATAACTGTATAGAAATCAGAAAAAAAAGAAAACAGCAATAATATTGTTTGTTTTTATCCCGAGCGCGCGCTCCAGAAAGCCATTTCAAAGTCAATTGTCAGAACTGTTATTGCGTTAGCGAATAGGAAGCAGGTCAGTCGTCCACGTTTGAACCTTCGACAGCTTTTTTCGTACTTGTGCTTGTTTTTACATTTGTTTTCAAACTTTTTTACTGGTAAACAAGCTTCACACTAATCGTAAGGGAAAATAGAGGTATTTCACTGAATTTACAAGCCGTTTATCTATAACATCTTTTTTCAAATTGGTCATTTGTTAGCGAAGGAATATACACCTTTTACCTCTTCGGCGGCAAAACTGAAAGAACTGAAGTGTCCAAGCGAAAGCACTGAAAGTTTAACGTCGCGATTGATATAAGGTAAGTACCTTGGAATGGTTTAGAAATGCTACTCAAGTTCAGCTCTGTTTTGGACTTTTCTAAGTACCACGATTCAGGACGATTACAAGCGACGTACTCTTTTTCGTGTTTTCAGGGACCAATCGACCCTGGCACTTCCTCCGTTGTCGCTTCTCTGTTTTGTTTGGTTGAACTTTGGCTCGCCATTTTCTGGCCCGTGTTCACAGGATTTTCTTGTTTTCTCGCTGTCGCGAGCGAAAGAGGTTTTTTATGCCTCTCCGAGAATTTGTAGTTCAGTTCAAAACAAGGAAGAACCTCCGGCTCACTTTAAAAAACGCTTTTGTTTGTTTTTAACTCTTCAAAAGGTGACAATGGTTTTGAAAACATTTTAAAATGACATTGTAGAAAACCTTTTTTGCAGTTGTTGTGTTAGAATTTGACGATAGTTGTTAGTACGTATGTAGATGCGAAACAATATCACTTAGCCTCGTTTTCAACTCGCAATTCCACACTAAATACCTCGCTTCGTTAACCAATCAGAATGGGAGATTTTACACAATTATGCGATTCTTCATATAATATTTATTACTGTAGTTGATTTCTCAATAACAATACCTTGCTAGTGTAATTCCCTCTGGCGCCATAAAAAGCCACTTCATACCAGGTTGCAATTAACAACCACGCAGCTCTAAACGACTTGCATCTCACATAAATGGTTGTAACATCAGAAGTTGCTCTCTTGAGAAGGCTTCGATCCGAAGTCTCGCGGTAGAATACCTCTCCGGCTACTCTAGTATCTACATCAGCCCAGAATGGTGCCACCAGTCGTCGCCTATCGCCGAGAGGAAACCTATCTGGTGTATACTGGTAAACGTTGGTCAGAAATGAAATCACTCCATTGGTGTTGATCTAAAAATGAGAAACTTCACTTAGCAGACAAAGATAGTATTTTCAGGAAACAGTGTTTCCTAAACGTTTTCCCAACCTCGTTCCCAGGTTGTCCCTCCTACTTGTCTCTCTCTTGGTAGAAGAGAACCCTGGGAACAAGGTTGAAAGTTTCCGTTAACAGGCAAGATGATGACTCACGCTGAGTCTAGTTTGATGCTTGCCTAGTCCCTGGGCCTCATTATTATGCGCGGCCGATGCGTTTCGGGTCACGTGGTCCGAGAAAGTTTTTGAGGCCTAGACAAACTCGGAGAAGTGAGACATTTTGTCTCACCTGGGGCGGAGCTTTTGGAAGCGGGCAAGCTGTCAATAACTTTTCCGTGCTGATGAAAGATGTCCAGCAGCCATGGAGAGTACAGAGAAACGAACATTTTTATTCTATGCACGTTTTCATTGTTGAAAGTCGTTTGGCCTTTCTTTTTCATTTATCTCATTAAACTAATTTGAACTTTATTTCATCTCAAAAACTATTTGTAGGCTAAGCAAAACAGCGTCGCAAAAAAATTATTTCATCAAGAATCGGAAGGTAAGCTAAAGAAATAAGTTTATATTTATTCTTGGATATGACAAGCTATCTTTTGTTTCTCTATTTTCGCTTGCTCCTATAAATTTCTCGTTTTCACTTCGAAATACTTTATGTAATTTAATTTTGAGTATGTCTAAATGTCGCGGGTCGCGACTCGCGGGTAGAGGTCGCGGGTGCGGGTGCGGGTAAAGTTCGCGGGTGTGGGTAAGTGTCGCGGGTAAAAATAAATCACCAAATTTAACAAAAAGATAAAATAAACAACGGCAAAAATTTTTTTTTAATTTTTTAACGAAGACAAGTTAGCAGCACTAAGGAAGACTAATTGTAGTTGTACGCTTTTTCGTTTATCTCCGACACGTTCCGTCTCCTACTGAGACTTCTTCAGGGAATGAATACAACTAACAAAGAACAGCATATATAACACGTTTTCTGCGTGAGTAAAACTTCCGATAGAAGTCTGAATAATAACTTAACTATGCTGTAAACGGACGTTTTAAGAAATGTTATTGCGTGTTGTTATATTTTGGGGGCCATACGATCACCGCTACTCGTATGGCCCCCCAAAACTTAACGGAACTATCGAACTCCATCAGGATAAAGAATCGATCGAAGTAAACCTGGAAATGTTCTTCCTTTTTGTCAGTGTGAAAGTTTTACCCACGTGCACGGGTATTGTTGCTGTGATCAAACCGCCAGTAACGTGGGAAAAATTCGATTTACCAGGATGGCAAATTCTTTCGTGCTACCGCGCCAAAATTGAGCACGAACGACGAATGACAACTCTCAATTCATACTTTTTGGTGAGGAATTAAGTACACGCCATTCTCATTTAGTGCAAAAAAAAAAGTCAAAGCTGTATTTTCGATGAACCAAATTGTGTCTTCTGAATCATATATACATAGGGTAAAAACCATTTCTTTTAAGTAAACAAGTCACATAAGCTGACACTGCGGACCCCTCCACTGAATAAAGAAGGGGTCAGGAAGGAGAGAGAAAACATAGGGGGTGGTCAAGAATGTCGTTCAAGGGGAGGGGAGAATTCTTACTTCAAAGAAGTAGCCACCTTTGTAAGATCTTGCTAGAGGTCTTAATGATTTCTTTTTATTTAATTTCAAGAGCTCGTAGTCGAAAAAAAAAAAAGTTCTAATTGAAGTATTATAAGGTCTTCTCAAATGTAATAGCTATTTCTAACTGTTTCCTGTCTAATCTATCACAGCGCTAAACCCTGGTTTCACTTCCATTTCCAGGTCTTCGGGCGGGGAGGGGGGGTCTTGACGAAATTTTGATTTTTCCATTTTTCCTCAAAAATGAAGATAGAAATGTACCAGGCATGGAGGAAACAAGATTTAAGACTGATCACTCGCAACATGGTAATGATAAAAAAACCTACTGGGAGATTACGCATTTATGCGACCAAAATTAATTTTATTTGTCGTGATTTGCAGAAAAAAGAAAAAAAGAAGTATTAGTTAAAGTTAGTTTTTCAGTCCGATAAGGTTTCGGCTGTTTAAGGCGGGCACTGAATTTTTACACTCCCTTTCAATACACTTCGCTGCTACATATAGATAATATAGAGGTCAGCAAAAGGCCAACTACTTTTTTGTACTATTGCAACTTAGTACCCTTAAACCCTTGGGCGTACAAGGTAGGGGAGTGGGTGAAATCCCCGGAGGGTTTTGTGAATCAACCACCAAGACAAGTCATCACATATCCACTGATACTTTTCTTTTCTCTATCAGAACTTTAACCTCCTCCCCAACAAATCCCAAACGCTGGTAGCTCGGTTACTTAGTGCAATTCTAACTAGCCAATGTAGTTTTAATCATGTGGATTTTTCTTTAGTGACTTTTTCCTTTGTATCGCCCTTAGTTAGCTTGAAGTATTGCAAATCTTCTTTGAAAGATAATCAAATTTCCCTTTATTTTACTAACAAGTTAATGTTAAATTTGGTGATTTATGTTAACCCGCGACCTTTATCCGCACCCGCACCCGCGACCTCTACCCGCGAGTCGCGACCCGCGACATTTAGACATACTCTTTAATTTTTGGATTTGGAAGCTTATCAAACTAATCGGACAGGCTGTTGAATTTGGTATCTAACTTTGGTAGAATGTCAACAAACTACTGTTCAGTTCTTTTTATCAATAAAGACTATAATTTTAATGGTTCATTTGAAGATGGACTAAAAGAGAAATTACTTGCGCGTTATACAGAAGTATTCTTTCCTATTCAAAGTAATATTTTTGTTCTTTTATAACACGAACTAGGTTAGTTATTTTTGTAATAGTGTCAATACTGCCGATCTTTAGCGAAGGATACTCACGCGCAAAGTTATTTATAGATTATTTCAGTTGACCGTGTGAACTTTTCAAAAATGCTCACGCATGCGCACTCCGAGATTGTCTAGGCGTCTCCCGGCCGTTCGTCTCGGATACGTCACCGAAATGCATTGACCCGAGAGGGCCTGAAAAGACGCCGTACAGGGACTAGGCAAGTTTGATGCTAAAACATGCTCTCCTACGCTCCAAAGAAACTCTTTGAGATTTATGTATGGGGAATTTGCTGACCATTCCTCTTTGGAAATATTTTGTACACCATGTCCTTTTTTTTCCTAAATAGCTGTGTGAAATGGTGTTCCACTTGAACAAAATTCATTTTACACCTTGCACATCTAGTTGCGGGCGTCAAGAGGAGCCCGCAATCCTAATCTCCAGGTTGTTTTTGCGCATGCGTCACATGTATGTAGACAGCGTTCGTTTGGACTTCCACTAAGAACGAATGGAATGCACATAACGAAATTTGATCACGCGTGTTTGGACCATCTCACTCGTAATCCGATCACGCGTGTTTTGACCATCTTTCACGTGAAACTTACCCAAAGCACAGCGTTGTAGCAAAAGCGTTTTGACCTTCGATCGTTGTTGCCCGCACTCCGTAACCTTTGGTTACTACTAGTTATACGTCTAGAGCGAAAACGTTTCATCTTTAGTGGTTGCTTGATTTTTCGATTTAGGACCAAGACGCTTTTAACATGTGAACAGGCTCTCTGTTTACGAAAGGGTGAAAAAAAATAGTTTTTTTTTTTTTTTTCACCCTTTCCCCAAACAGAGAGCCTGGGTTTCCATCTCCAATACGAGTCAGTTGAATTACTCTGCAAGAGTAATCGCCCTGCTGTAGTAAAATGAAGCTCCGACACCCTGAGGCCTGTCATTTCACTCCAGAAGGTCGCAGGAGGACACCTTAGGCTCATTGTTATGCACTTTTTTAAAGCATATGCACGAAGTGCAACGACTGGCATCGACAAGTATATGAGATATTCATAACTGGATAAAACATGGGCGCGTAATTTAAAGACGATTCACGCGCACGATAGTGCCTTGTGGCGTGAAGACTACGAATAATATTTATTCAAAAGCAACAAAAGGGCTCTGAAAGATAATAATCCTTGTTTTCAGTGATTTTTAAAGAAATAAAAATTAGCAAAACTCTTCTCCTAAAAAGTACAATATCCTCAATTGTATTTTTAAAAAAAACCTGTTGCTTTCAACCCATTGTACTTTCTGCTCTCAAAACTGAAGCGTGGAATGCGCAGAATAGACCAATTTTGACATATTAGAATTCAAACTTGGCACCGATGCTTGGGGGAATAAAACAAAAGAAATGTATTATTCATTGTTCAGCTAAGATGATTTCTTTTGTTTTATTCCCCCAAGCCTCGGTGCCAAGTCTGAATTTTAATAAATCGTTTTTCGATGATTTTGTGTCTAAGAATTCAGCGCAGATACAGAACTTCACAATAAGCTGGCACTTCAGAAAGGTTAACTTGGTAGTGTGTAGTGTGTCGTGACAGAAGCGGAATTCCCGCAAAAGAGCGCTTTTCGAAAAAAGGTTATAGGGCATTCAGTAATTTCAGGGATGACAGAAACTTGAGGTTTTGACCGATCATTTATTAATAAAACACAGAGTGCTGTCTCCTATTTCCATCCTCAAACTTGGACACAAAAATCACGTTTTGCCAATTTGGCGTTACTGTGGCTTAAAGCATTCTCAATTGCGTAAGGAAATTAGGGCATGGGTGTTTTTCAAGGTAAAAAAAAATATGTAAATTAAGTCACGTGACCTTTAACGGCATTTTGCGCGAGGAAAACTTAAGTTAGAAATGGCACCATTTTATAATAGCAGTCAATCAAAGAAATTGCAACCAAACATGTCCGTAGATGAACGACTAGACATCTGTGCCCGGGCTTTGTTGAATATTTTATTGCAAGTGTGTAAATAAATGGAATTTTGCTCTAGTACCCAGTCCCCTTATCAAACGATTTTTGAATTTCGGTGCTGTCTACAATATTAACTT